AAAAGGTACAAGATAAAATCACAGAGTCCACAGATGGATATAATAACCTTTAATATCAATGGACTGAACTATGGCATTAAAAGGCAGAAACTAGCAAACTGGCATAGAAAACACACCTTGTCAATCTGCTGCCTACAGGAACACATCTCAAGATTCAGACAAAAATAGGCTGAGAACCAAAGACTGGAGAAAAATATACCAAGCAAATGGCAATTCAAAAAAAGCAGGGGTTGCAATCCTAATCTCAGACAAAATTATCTCAAGGTACAAGCCATAACAAGAGATAAGGAGGGAAATAATAATCTATAACTTATCAAGGGTTCTTGAGGGAGTGGGGAAAGGTAGGGAGGGGGAAGAAATGAGTAGCTGATATCAGGGGCTCAAGTGGAAAAAGAATATTTTGAAAACGATGATGGCAGTTTATGTGCAAATGTGTTTGACACACAGAATGTATGGATTGTATGAATGTATGGATTGTGATAAGGGCTGTAAGAGCCCCCAATAAAAGTATTTAAGAAAATTATGATGGCAACATATGTACAAATGTGCTTAACACAACAGATGGATATATGGATTGTGATAAGAGCGGTAAGAGCCCTCAGTTAAAAAACAAAAACTCACAAAAAAAAACCAACAAAAAATTCTATAAAGAAGGTATAGGAAAAAAGAAAAGGAAAAAAAGGTAAAACACTTCATCTTGCTTGTTTGCAATTGTTTATACAAATTAATAATCCTTTTTATTTGTAATAATTTGTTTTACTCTTTGAAAAATGTTCCAATAATACCTTTTCCATTAAAAAAAAAAAGATATGAGGGGCCTATATAATTAATGCTCAAGGGAACAATAGACCATGAACCAGTAAGCATAAAAAATATACATATGCCCCTAATGAAAGTCCCACGAAATTTATCACATGCTCCAAAAGATAAAAAAGAAATCACAGGCTCAACAATCATAGTACGTGGCTTTAATATACATTCTCAGAGAAAGATAGATCACAGGGAACGACGCTAAATAAGGTGGCTACAGATCAAAACTTTATTAGACGACTTGACCTGATATATAGTTTCAGAGCTCTCCACCAAAATGCAAAAGAAAATTCATATTCTTTTCAAACCCACATGGCACTCGATGACGCACCACATGGTAGAACACAAGTTGAATCTGTGTAAATTCAAGCATAGAGATCATACAGACTTCTATCTCTAACCACTGCCTTAAGGTTGGAAATCAACAAAAGGTCATTTAAGAAAACAAGGGCAAACAATTGGAGAGTGAGTAACTCTCTATTGAAAAGAAGTGAGTACTGGCCCAGATCAGAGATGAAATTAAGAAGAGTCTAGAAACCAACAACAATGAGAACACGGAAAAAAAAAGAATAAGAATACGATGTACCAAAACATTGGACCAGATCAGAGATGAAATTAAGAAGTTTCTAGAAACCAACGAGAATAGAATACGATGTACCAAAACCTTTGGGACACAGCAAAGGCATGTATAAGAGCAAGTTTGATAGCAATACATATACACATGAAAAAGGAAAAGAGACATGAGTGATACATTGCCACAAAACTTACAACAACAAGAAGAGAGTCAACAGGACAATCCCACTAATAGAAAGCTAAAAGAAATAATAAAAATCAGGGCTGAGATTCATGAGAAGGAAAACAAGAAAACTATGAAAAACAATTAATGCAGCTAAAAGTTGGTTCTTTTAAAGGATTAACAGAATCAACAGACCTCTGGCAAACCTAACCAAAGAAAGGAACACATTTCAATACCAACCAAGGATAAGGAATGAAACAAAGGATATTACAACTGATCCTAATGAAACCAAAAGCATAGTTACACAGTACTACGAAGGCCTGTACTCCAGTGAATTCGAAAACTTGGAAGACATTGAAAAATACTTGGAAAAACAATTCCTCCCTAGACTATCCCAGATGGACGTCAAGAATCTCAACAGACCCATAACAATAGAAGAAGTAGATAAGGTTATCAAGGGATTACCAACAATAAAATTCCTCAGGCCAGATGGCTTCACAGGAGAATTCTACCAGCATTTAGGAAAGAACTAACACCAATCCTACACAAATTCTTCCAGAACACAGAAAAAGATGGAAAACTCCCGATCACTTTTTATGAAATTAGTGTAACTGATGCCTAAAGCAGGCAAGGATCCCACAAGAATTGAGAATCAATGCAAAAATCCTTAACAAAAAAATGGTCAATAGAATACAAAAGCATATAAAACAAATAATCCACCATGACCAACTGGGAATCATACCAGGGATGCAGGGATGGTTCAACATATGAAAGAACATTAGTATTATTCGCCGCATTGACATGAAAAATTATGAGAACCACATGATACTATCATAGATGCGGAATAAGCATTTGACAGCATGCAACAATTCCTGTTTAAGACACTGGAAAAGATAGAAATGGAAGGAAAATTCCTCAATAGAATACAAGCTATATATGAAATACCAACAGCCAACATGGTAGTCAATAGAGAAAATATGAAAACAACCCCATACAAATGGGGACCATACAAGGATGCCCCTTGTCCCCACTCTTATTTAGCAGAGTACTGGAGGTCTAGCTAACAACATAAGGCAAAGGAAATACATCAAAGCCTGGGGAAGGAAGAGGTGAAACTATCATTATCTGCAGATGATTATGATTTTATATATGGAAAATCCCAAAAGCTCAACATGCGACCTACTGGAAGCGATGCAACAGTGGTTCTTAACCTGTGGGTCATGACCTCTTTGGAGGTTGAACAACCCTATCACAGGGGTCACCTGAATCATAACAGTAACAAAATTATAGTTATGAAGTAGCAACGAAAATAATTTTATGGTTGGGGTTCACGACAACCTGAGGAACTGGACACTAGAAAAGTTGAGAACCATTGCAATAGAAGAATATGGCAGTGTGGCAGGATACAAGACCCATCAACAGAAGTCTATCAGACTGCTATACACATCAGACAAGAACATGGAAGAGGGGATCAATATAGTAGTACCTTTCACAATAGCCAAGCACAAATTGAAATATCTAGGGATATACCTAACTAAAAAAACAAGATTTTTAACAGGAAAACTACAGAACACTATTACAAGAAGCTAAGAATGACCTCAACAAATGGAAGAATAGCCCATACTCGTGGACTGGAAGACTCAATATAGTAAAAATGTCAGTTCTGCCCAAAGTACTATATAAGTTTAATACTATCCTGATAAAACTACCATCATCTTTCTTCAAAGAAATGGAAAAACTAATTACCAACTTCATGTGGAGAGGGAAGCCCAGAAATGGCAGAAAACTCAAGAAAGACAAAGTTGGAGGGGTTGCATTACCTGACTTTAACACCTATTAAGACAGCCACAGTGGGCAAAATAGTGTGGTATTAGTATGATGACAGATACTCAGACCAATGGAAAAGAACTGAAAACACAGAAATAAAATCATCAGCATACAGACAACTGATCCTTGATAAGGGCCCCCAAAATATCCAATGAGAAGCAGATGCCCTCTTCAACAAGCGGTGCAGGAAAAAATGGGTATCAACCTGCAGACAAATGAAGCAAGACCCTTACCTCACACCATGCACAAGAATAAACTCAAGGTTAATCAGAGAGTAAAATCCCAAACTATTAGGGCCATTGTATTACTAGGTACTTTAGAGAAACAAATCCACAGCAACTCATATATAAGACAGTTTTATGTAAAGAAAGTGTGCATCACAAAAACATCCCAACCCAATGCTGCCCAAGCCCACAAGTCCAACATTAACCCATTAACCCAACACCAGTCCACAAAGTCCTCCACCTCACAAAACAGAGGCAATGGTGCCAACTGCAGGAGGAAAGCTGAGTCAGTGAACGAATAAGCATCTCAGCACTAGCAGGGGTCTCCACACGGCTGCTCCAGCACCCAGGGCTGCATTGGGATAGGTCCATGTGGCTTCTCCTTGGGGATGTCTTGTAGGAAGTCAACCTTGCAAGCTGAAGCAGGGAACTGCTAAGGCAGCTGCACCCTGGTGCGACCATCACAAAGCAAGAGACCCGAGAACTAGAAAGGCGAGGCTCACCACCCATTTATCCCTCCGCCTTTCAATTAGCCCCACATGTGATTATCGGCCAGGTTGGCACAATTAACTAACTCAGCCATCAATGAGGGAACTGGGACAGACCTGAGAACTTTGGCACAAGGAACACATAGGCTATAGTAAATAGGGAAGGGCACAAATTGACAAGTGGAATATACTGAAGGTAAAACACCTGTGTACATTGAACAATTTCTCCAAGAGAGTTAATAAGAGAGCCCACTGACTGGGAAAACATCTTTAGCAATGACTCATCAGACAAAGGCCTTATTACTAAAATCTACAATACTCTGCTAGCTTACAATAAGAAAAAAAACAATTGCCCACTGAGGAGGTGGGCAAGCAACCGAAATAGAATTTTCACAAGGGCTGAAATACAAATGGCCAATAAACATGAGAAAATGTTCCTGATCATTAGCTATAAGAGAAATGCAAATTAAAACAATGATGAGATACCACCTAACACCCCCAAAGATCACTCAATTTAAAAAATCAGAAAGTTAACAAGTGTTGGAGTGGCTATGGTGAGATAGGAACTCTCATCCACTGCTGGTGCACTTGTTTAAATATGTACAGCCATTATGGAAATTGATTTGGTGATATCTAAAACAGATGGAAATCGAGTTACCATACAGCCCAGCAATCCCCCTACTGGGCATATACCCAGAAGAGGCAAGAAACAAACCAAGGCCAGACATCTGTGCTCCAATGTTCATTGCAGCACAGTTCACAATCAAAAGGAGTTGGAAACAACCCAAACTTCCATCAACTGATGAGTAGATTAAAAAACTGTGGTACAGCTCTTTTTTTGCCAGGTACAGCTTTTTGCCACTGGGCCCGTACTCAGGCGCACACGAACCAGCGGAGCAAGCCAGCGGAGCCAGCATGCTGGTCACTCTCGCTCGGAGCTGGGTTTGTCGGAAGACCTGTCACCCCATGGAAATCCTCGAGAAGTCTCGGCTTGACCAGGAGCTAAAGCTGATTGGTGAGTACAGGCTCCGCAACAAGCATGAGGTCTGGAGGGTCAAGTTCACTCTGGCCAAGATCCGTAAAGCCGCCCAGGAGTTGCTGACGCTGGATGAGAAGGACCAGTGGCGTCTGTCTGCTGCGGCGGCTGGTCTGCATTGGGGTGCTGGACGAGGGCAAGATGAAGCTGGATTACACCCTGGGTCTGAAGATCGAAGACTTTCTGGAGAGGTACCTGCAGACCCAGGTGTCCAAGCTGGGCCTGGCCAAGTGCATCCACCACGCCCGAGTGCTGATCCGACAGTGCCATATGAGTGTCCGCAAGCAGGTGGTGAACACCCCATCCTTCATCATCCGCCTGGACTCTCAGAACTACATGGACTTCTCCCTCCACTCACCTTACAGAGGAGGACCCCCAGGCCGCATGAAGAGGAAGAATGCCAAGAAGGGCCAGGGCGGGGCTGGAGCTGGTGAGGATGAAGAGGAGGATTAAGCCCACCCAGCCCCTCCGGGGTCTAGTTTCCCAATCAAATAATAAAAATCAAGAAGGCGGAGAAAAAAAAACTAACTGTGGTACATATATACAATGGAGTAAAATAGCAGTGATGAACGAATGAAGCACATCGCCACGTGGGAAGAACTGGAGGAAATTATATTAAGAAAAGTAAGCCAAGCACAAAAGTATAACATGAGTCCGCTGAGGTAAGCTTAAAAAATGCAAAAGGGGCATAGAGGAGAAAAACTGTGTCTGTACATTCCTGGGGTGAGGTCCAAGTAGTATGGCAAGGGCCAGACCCAATCTAGGGATATATATATGGCTTCCAACAAAAAAGGAGGGGTAAAGATAGAAGAAAAAAAAAAGACATAGGTAGTGGGGGAACAGGGCACTCACCCACCCAAGGAGAAGGTATTGTTCCTATCTCCACAGGAGAGGGAGAGAGGGATCAGACTTCAGCCAAGACATGAATGCAACATAATGACATGAAGCAGGGAACCAATAGAGGGGTCTGCAGGGCCAGCCCCAATCCCAACTACGTGATCACCCTCCCCATCCTCCCAGAAGAATGCAGTTGAGGACA